TGGTGTTGGTATGGAGAGTAACCTTCAGTAATAGTAATAAATCACACAGCAATTGGACATTCATGTACTATTCAAAACACGTTACTCTCATTGAGTAACGTAACAGAATAAATTACAAACTACATTTTGGGGCATGTAGTCGGTAGTGGAATACATTTTTAAAGTAACCTTCCCATCACTGATGCTGACAGACAGCTCTAACCGTGTTTGTGTGTGTCAGTATGTTTGATGTAGGAGGACAGCGGGACGAACGCAGGAAGTGGATTCAGTGCTTCAATGGTGAGGAAAAAACAGATTCTTTATCGATCGAGCCTGAATGCAGCAGGGAGTTTGATGTGTGTGTGCACTTGCGTCCAGATGTGACCGCCATCATCTTCGTGGCAGCGAGCAGCAGCTACAACATGGTGATCCGTGAGGACAACTCCACCAATCGGCTGCGAGAATCTCTGGACCTCTTCAGATCCATCTGGACCAACAGGTTCTCTGACTGACTGAAGTTGCCAATTACACTCTGATTGGCTGCCTTAAACAGGGCAGGGATAGCTCAGTAGGTAGAGTGGTGGCCCCATGGTCGGAAGGTCGGGGGTTCGATTCCCCTGAACAGCTACCCTGAGGTACCCCTGAGCAAGGTACCGTCCCTACACACTGCTCCCCGGGCGCCCAATGGCTGCCCACTGCTTCACTGAGTGAATGGGTTAAATGCAGAGAGGGATTTTCCCCACGGGGACCAATAAAGTACACTTTCTTCTTCTTTCTTCTAAACACTTCCTACCAACTGAGTACATGTAGTTGACTGTCCTGTTCTCTGATTGGCCGTAGGTTCCTGAAGACTATTTCAGTGATCCTCTTCCTGAACAAACAGGATGTTCTTGCTGAGAAGATTCTGGCTGGAAAGTCGAAGCTGGAGGATTATTTCCCAGAATATAACAACTACCAGCTTCCTGCTGATGGTAAATATCCAAAGAGTGTGGAAAGTTAATGTCCTTGTCTCAAAGGTTTGCACTGAATTTCAAACTTGCTGCTCCTTCCTCCTGGAATAAGCTGCAGAATGTGCAGGAGACTTAAGGTTTGACTGAGTTTAAGGCCATTTTAAATGAGCTGAATGCAGTTAATTCAGGATGCAAATGGTTTTTCCTGAATATTATTAGCTTTGTTTCTGGCCTTGGAGCGTTGCTTCTGAAGGCTTATTGTGACTGAAGTCTGTACGTGATTTTTCTCCCCCCCCCCCCCTCTTTGTGTGATTGACTGCTGTATGACTTGTGTGTGTGTATATATATGTGTAGCTTACGCCTGTAATGCTGTCATTCTTGGTTGGGACTTTTAATCTTGAGACTTTTTATTTTTTCCTGGTTGAATAAACACAAATTGAAATCTGTCCCACCAACACGTGAGTGCGCCTCGAGCACGTGAACACACCTCTTGACCATGCACACTTGTTTCAGCTGTTCCAGACACTGATGAAGACCCCAAAGTGATGAGGGCCAAGTTCTTCATCAGAGATGAGTTTCTGGTAAAATCGCTTCCCGTCTTGACATCACGCTATCACACGATGGCGTGTTCAGACTAACATGCGACTCCCGTTTCAGAGGATCAGTACAGCGAGCGGTGACGGCAAACATTACTGCTACCCTCACTTCACCTGTGCTGTTGACACCGAGAACATCCGCCGTGTCTTCAACGACTGCCGTGACATCATCCAGCGGATGCACCTGCGGCAGTATGAACTGCTCTGACTGCTGGGCGCCGCCTGGCCCCGGCCACTCTGAAGAAGCCGATAAGTAATGGAAGCAGATAGCCGATCAATGCTCATAGCGTTTGTGATATTTATTAGTGATTATAGATTAGGACAGACTCTTATTAGCTGTGTGTTCCATGTTCTTTATGTCCTGCAGGGCATTGTGGTCAGAATTATTGGCATGGCAGCAATGTGTCATGTGGGAGGAGGTGGAGTCTGGAAATCTATTTTTACATGTTATTTGTGTTATCTTTGCTCTGATTGGCTGATCCATTTGAATAATTAAACACCTTTGTTTACCTGTGAACTTGGGGTCAAAGGTCAGTCTTTATTCAGAAGCTGTTCAAATGTTTTTATTTGTTATTCAGAGAGCTAAGTGTTTACCTGCAGGTTGCCAGGTGTGTCCTGGCTCTGCTACGCCACGGTAACCTATAGACTCAAGATTCATGTCCACAGCAGATAGAATATAACGTGACAGGAAACGACTCTGTCTTCTAATCTGAAGACTGTCTTTCCAATTAATTTCCAAATTAAAGTTCAGGGATCTTTCCCTTTTAAAAAACCCCCCCAAAAAAAACCTCTTCACATTTTAAGAGCTTCACGTTGTTGATTTTGAACACTTTCTCAGAAACACAAGCTGTGACGATGTTTTCACTCTTTGAGAAGCAACAGCACACAGAGAAACTGGGGACTTTGAAGTGAGACCAGATTGTTCAGCTTTCTGCTCCTGAACAACTATAACATATCTTTATGGTTTGATCCAAATGAAACATACAAATAAAATTTTTATTTTTTATTTTTGTTGCTGATCTTCAGATGACAGTGCATCTAAATAAAGGGCACAGAGACACAGAACTACTACTCTGTCATTAAAAGAGTTAGGAGAGAGTAATGTAGCTTACTGCCAACATGTAGATGAAAATGAGCTGATGGTAACTAACCTCAGGCTGGCAGTATTATACCTGCTGGCTTTAATGCCACAAACTCTGCCGGCTTGAGGACTCTGATCACCAGAGCAGGTACGAAGCACTAAAGTGATCTCGTTTATCCTCAGTCTTTACTAAAAACATCTAAAAACAAACTGTGAGAGAATGAGATAACTGAGCTATGCTGCAGAATCATGTACGTGTGTCTGGATTCTGACTGCCACCAGGTGAGAGGCATGTGTACCTGAGTGTGTTACCTGCTCATCACCAGGCACACCTTTACTATCCCATAGTTTGGGCTGTGGGAGAACAGAGATATCTTTGAACCTTCTTCCTGTAACAGCGCCACTTGAACTTAGGACAGGTACTTTATCAGCTGGTTTATACCTGCACAACTAAGCACGCAACACTGCCCCCTGATGGTGAAGCTTCTCTTAAATTCTCTGATTAAACATTCTCACATTAAACACTTCCTGTGGTCCGAGTCAGCTGATGGCTTTGTAAAGTTTCACATAGGATAAGGTCAGATCATGTGAACGCCATAAATGAATGCAGTGATGGGAAAACAAATGCGAGTCTGACTTAAATGGGCTAAACACCATAGGTGTGAAAACACCCTAAGACTGTAATTGGAGTATTCTCAGTAATCTGAGTAATCTTCATGTAAACAGTTGGTTTTTATGCTGTGTTGTGGACTGAATATTTTTAAGTATCAGAGTACCTGTAACAGCTGTTACCATGGTTACTGCTCATCATGTACTAATGTTCAATCGACTTGAAACAATCCACTTCCTGTACAGATGTTTCTAACATGGTTGGCAGGTCAGAAGGGTCTGTGGCCACATTTTCTACAGGTGCACCAGATCTTCTGAACTAGTCAAAAGTAAGTGGACAGACCGACATGATCTGTCACTCTGTCCTCCAGTGAGTCAGAGAATGACTCATGACCTGTATGTGATGCCAGTGATGTTTAAAAATAAAAGAAAAAGCTTTTATTCTGAAGAGTATTACATTTTTATTTCGCCTGTAAAGTCAGACAGGTACAGACAGGTGGGACATTCGGGCTCTGTGCCTCCTTCACCAACTCCAGTAACAGGTGAGCACATCTGTCAAGATTTCTTCTTCTCTGTTATTATTAACTGCAGGTGACCTCACGGTGTGTTCAAAGCTCTCTGTGTAAAAACTGCTTTTCTGGAACCACTCCTCTGTCCGTCCACTGTTCTGGTCACAGAGATCCATGCAGTTCTCTGAGATCCTGACTGCGTGTCGCTCGGATGGTGCGCCTGCGGAATTTGGACTAGTTGCAGCTGGATAGTGTAGTGGTAAAACTACACACCTCTGGAGTGCAGGTCACAAATTCAGTTCCCACCCAGTATCCAGTAAGGGTTCTGGCTAGATCCCTCATTCTAAAAACCAGCCCTGGAGTGACGCGGCTATGTCTGCAGCCTGTCCGCAGTTCAGGACACAAGCATTTCACCACATGTTCACTATATGTTGTACTGTGTATGTGACAAATAAAATCTGTGTCTGATAAAAGGGTGGAAATAGAACGATAGTGGCGTTCACGAGAATGGGACATAAAAAAAAAAAGTTTAACGTTTGCAGCCTGTCTGTGTTTTTCCAACACTGGCTTTCACCTCCAGTCTCTGATGTTAGAGGGCGCTCTCCTGCGCGCCTGGTGGAGGCAGTGTTGCCAACTAAGTGAGTTTGTTGCTATATTTAGCGAGTTTTCAGACCCGCTTAGCGACTTTTTTTCTAAAAAGCGACTAGCGATAAATCTAGCGGCTTTTTCTGGTATTATTGGAGACTTATTTATGACGACTTTTTGACGTGAAAGTGCGTATCGCTCTTACTCTCAATAAGCAGCGGTGCTGCCGTGGGCACCTCGCCCGTTCCAAAGCGCTCACGGGCGGAGGTAGTCCTCCCCCAGCTGCTATCAGGGCAGAAGATGTTCACACCTATGTGTCCAAACTGCAAATGAATTGCGCATGAGCGAAGCCGCTGCTCCTGCACTGACTGTAACGCAGTCAATTCTTTTACTCTTATGCTGTTTTATGGATCACAAGGTTTAAAACTACTTATAAACCAGAGGCGGAGCCAGACATTTGAAACACCCGGGGCTTAGCCCTAAAGGGTAGTATGCATGTGGGATTTTATTTTATTTATTTATTTATTTATTTTTGGGGGGGGGTTAGAAATGACTGAAAGATTAATTGGCTCTGTTTTGAGTTTTGTTCAAAAAAGTGACTTCATATGGGGAAAAATATATATCACATATGCAGGACACCTTAAACTAGTTTTTTAATTAAGCAGCAAGGCAGAACAAAGTCGGGGCTGTATCAAGACACGAGGACTAAACCCCAATTCAACCAGACCCAGAACTGATCCGGAATTAAAACAGGACTACAACAGTTCAAAATCAGGACTACTGAGGACTTAACCA